ATGAGTATTCTCTTTTCTCTGTATCCATGCCAATATCTGTCATTTTTCTGCCTTTTAATAATTAGCCATTATGAATGATGTAAAATGGTATTTCATTGTGGATTTTAATTGTCATTTATCTGACCATTGGCAACATTGAACATTTTTCACATGCTTTTTGGCCATCATTGTCTTTTTGAAAAGTATCTGTTCCCTTTATTTGCCTGCTTTTTAATGAGGTTACTTATTTTATTCTTGTAGAGCTGTTTGATTTCCTTGTATATTCTGAACATAAGTTCTTTGTCACATGCATAGTTTGCAAACATTTTTTTTATTCCATAGGTTGTCTGCTCACCTGTTAATTAGAACACCCTTTCAGGAGCTTTTTAGTTTAAATTCCATTTCTTTATTTTTGTTATTGTTGCATCTGGTTTTGAGATTTTAGTCATGAATTATTTTGCAGGCCAATATCTAGAAGTGTTTATCATAGGGTTTCTTCTAGAATTTTTATCATTTCAGGTCTTATATTTTAATCTTTTAATCCATATTGAGTTGATTTTTCTATCTGGTGAGAGTTAGGGGTTTCATTTCATACTTCTGCATACAGCAATATAAGTTTTCTTGCACAGTAAGTTGAATTGAATGTCATTTCCCCAGTGTATGTTTTTGTTGACTTTGTAAAAGATCAGTTGTGTGTAGGTATGTGGCTTTATTTCTAGGTTCTCTGTTTTTTTCCATTCATCTATGCCTCTATTTTTAGCAGTACCATGCTGTGTTGGTTGTTAAAGCCTTCTAGTATAATTTCAAGTCAGGTAACATAATATCTCCAACTTTCTTTTCTTTGCTTAAATTTGCTTTGCCCATTCAATTCAGGCTTTTCTATGGTTCCATATGAATTTAAAATGTTTTTCTAATTCTATAAAAAATAACATTGGCATTTTGGTAGGAATTGCATTTAATATGTAGATTGTTTGGGGTAGTATGGTCATTTTAATGATAATAAGTCTTCCAATCCATGAGCATGGGATTTTTTTTTCATTTATTTGTGTCATATACAATTTATTTCTTCAGTGTCTTGTAGTTTTCCTTCTAGAGATCTTTGGCCTATTTGAGTCATTGTATTTGTAGGTATTTTACCTTTTGCGTAGTTATTTTAAAAGAAATTGACTTTTTAATTTGGTTCTCAGCTTGATCAACATCAGTGTATACAAATGCTATTAATTCTTGTACATTGATTTTCATATCCTGAAACATTAGTAAATTTATGTATCAAATATAAAATTGTTATGGTGGTCTTTAGATTTTTCTAGATATAGTATTATGTAATCATCAAAGCAGGACAATTTGACTTCCTAATAAAAGCCATATGGATGCTCTAATCAAGATTAACTGACAGAATCTGTGGGGAGAGTACAGGTGATGGTATTTTTTTAAAGTGGTCATGTGATTATGGTTGGAAGCCTAGGCTGAGAGACACTTAGCTAAGTCTTGCCCCTGAAGTTTCAATGTACATATAAATCATTTCTGATTCCTCTCTGATTACATTCTCTCTTAGTAATGTAATTAATGTAATGTAATGTAATTCTGCAGGTTTGGAAGGGGTCCATGAATTGGCTTCTTTAAAAAAGTTTTCTCTAATGCTGATGTTTCTCACAGTACATCCACTCAGCTAGAGAAAGTCGTCAGAGGACACAGAGTTCCTGACACCCAACACTGTTACCACAATATAAATACTTTTGGCCCAAAGTGGAAATCAGCAATCACCATTAACAAGCAGGTTATTCTCTGCTGGCTCTTTCAAGTTTTCAGATGCTAGAGAATGCATCAATGTTAGAGTAGGCCTGCATTTGAAAAACATGTATACATTAGTTAATACAGTGTTTATTGAGCATGTACTATGTGTTCAGAAGTATGTTACACAGCTGTGCTGGAAACATCATATGGTGAGTTCATCCTTATAGCTTCCTAGGAGTTGGGTGCTAAACTTTCTGTAATTTCTGGGATTGAATTGCCCAGTATTTCTATTTTTTCTTTCATTTTTAAAATAATTTACCTGTAAAGAAAATGTGTAGAATAAAAGCAGTGTAGACAGATGAGAGGAATACAGAAAGAAAGGGTGAACTGTTCAGAGAGATTTTTTGGTATTTATATTGAGTTTCTTGTGCCTTGTAGAGGAACTACGGGATCTGCAGAAATGAACTCCAGGTTGCTAGGTGGGATGTCTGTAGAAGCACTGGCTTCAATGAAAAAGAAATTGTCATCCACAAATGTATAATTTCTGATCTCCTTTAATTAGTTCTGTGAGAGGAGATTCTAGGGTGAAGCCCAACTCAGATGAGGCCTTAGAAGAGGGTGGATCTGGGCAGGGCTGGGACAGAAAGTGGGCCCCATGTGGCTGATGTCTATGCTGGTGGAGTATTTCTAGTTCTGTCTTTCTTAAGCCCTCCCTGTAAAAACTTGACTCCTAGAGTTTGTATAGTTTTAATCTATTTTAGCCATTTCCCTGTCAATTTTTATAACACACAATAACAAGGAATTAAAAAAAAACTTAGGGTATTTTAGGACAATTAAATGAGAAGCTAAAAAAATTATTTTTACTAAGGTAAAAGAAATAGGAATAATCACAACAATAACAATTATTCTTCTGTCCATGAATCGCCCTTCAGGTGGTGACATCGGAACTCACAACAGCAGCATAAGGGAAGTGGAACAAATGTAGCCAAAGTCCCCTGTACACCTGCCTTCTCTCTTCTGACCACAGAATATTGAATTCAATCATTTAGCCATTTGCTCTGGAATGAAAGTATCTGAACAATAGAAACCATGAGTGTTTCATCTGTTTTTCTAACAGTCATATGATATAGTTATATGTCCCCTCCAAATCTTACATTAAATTTTAATCCCTAATGTTACAGGTGGGCCTGATGGGAGGTGGTTGAAGAATAAGGATGGATTCCTCATGGCTCTGTGCTGTTTTTGTCATGGTGAGTACTCACGAGATCTGTTGGTTTAAAAGTGAGGCCTATCCCTCCCCCATCTTTCCTGTTCCCACCCCTACCATGTGAGATGCCTGCTCCTCTTTCATCTTTCAGCATGACTCTAAGCTTCTTTATATGTTAATGTTGTTACACAATTTAACTCAATTTTCTTATAAAATTAACTGACAAAATTTTACAGTTATTATACCATAAATATAAATAAATATATCACATATGTGTTATGACATCACAATAAGTTATAATACCATAATTTATATATGTCATGACATCACAATATACACAATACCATAATTCATATGTATCATGACATCACAATATTTTATGATATCATAATTCATATGTATTATGACAGCACAATATATTTTGATATCAATTCATATGTATTATGACATCACAATATATTAAGGTATCACAATTCATATGTATTACTGTGATATTATAATAACATTAAATTTTTGTTAGGTAATTAATAAGAAAATTGTGTTAAATTTTGTAATAACGACTTATAAACTTAATAGAATCTGAGAATATTATCTGCTCTGTGTAAATGACTGCTTAAGATATTATAACATAATATTCACAACTTGTTTATTATCAAATAAATTATATATAATATAGTATCAATATATAATGATATTATAAGTTCTATTTAAATCCTATTTAAATTCAGACAATTTTATTAGGCAGTGTCTGTCTGTCTACCACCCGATTTTTTTTGGATGCCACTATTTGCACACAAACAGCGCAGCTGGGAAAACACAGAGCCACCAGCACAGACTCTTCCCTGGATCTTTCCTCTCCTCAGGGCATCAGTTCATCAGTCAAGCAAGCTATCTGAGAGTTGAAGACTGAGTGCTCTCTAACATAGAAGTTCTTATTTCTGCATGCTTTTCTCAGAAGAGGGAAAAATAAGAAGGTCCTTTTAGGGGACACTTGCTGGGACATGAACTAAGTCTTCTACAGTTTGATAGCTCTAACCAGCAGATAGAGATTTCTCAGTAAGAAGGAATGGGGCAGCTGTCCTGAGCCTGGAAGCTCCACCATACCTTGTTCCATCTTGTTTAGGTGATTTTGAGAGGCTGCTCTGGAATATGTCTCAATGGTGGATGTTGGGAAACAACACAGGCTTTTATGGGACTCAGGTGGTGTCTGTTGTGTGAAGACACAAGCTGAATGCTCAGGATCTAGGTTGTTTTTCTTGTGCTCAGTTGTGTTACCTGTTTGGGACCAAGTCCAGTTTTACCAGAGAGACTGAATAAATTCTAAAAAACAAAGTAGAGCCTTGAGGAAGGGTAACAAAGAGGGAAAGTTTCTCTTTCCACCTAGACTTTTTGCTGCCTCAGGAATCACAGGCTGATTAAGTTACTACCAGCTCTAATCTGATCAATTCAATTCGATTCAGTTTGATCTAATTCTCTTCCCCCTTGTTAAGATAGTAATAGCATTTTTTTTTATTTACTTTTTCTCCACTTTTTATTTTATCATATATGTATGTATCTAATACAATCAACCATAATTTTAATTTGACATTTCCAAGCATTTGAAAAATTATAACATCTATGTACATGATTTTAACACTATGTATAATGCTCTTTCTTTGCAAAATGTATATTGAAACAGTTCAATATAGATATGTTTATTCTGCATCTTGAAAAACAAGCAGGATCAAAATACTTCCAGGTAGGAATTGGGACAGAAATTAGAAAAAATGATTCCCCTATCTTCTGATTTCTGCGCCCCTGACTTTTTTAGTTTTTGTTTTTGACACTATGGCAAGACCCAGAAAATGTCTCCCATTAACTGTGTTTAGGTCCATAGTAAAACTACAGCATGAAACTTTTCTTATTGAGGCCCTAATGAGGAAGGAAGAAGAAAACTGTTCAGCCAATAAGAGCAAGCCAAGCCCAGCTGAGGGACATATAAGAGGCGGGTCTAAGAGAATAACTCACACTGTGAATTGGGACATGTGAGAGAGAGCAGCTTTCATTTGAGTTTGAACATGAGAAAAAATAAATAAAGACTATGATCCCCCACTGCTCCTCCATCCAATGTCCCACTGACCATCCTTCTTTCAAACAGATCTCCTTTACAGAAAAGGGCTCAGATGAGAAGAAACCGTTCAAAGCAAAAGGCAAGACCCCCTCCTCCCACTCCAGTGAGAAGCACACGGAAAGGCAAAGTAAGGCATTGGGCTGTTCCTGTGAAGTCTCCAACGAGGGTTGGAATCAGGAATACTGAGCTATGTGTCTTTATTGGGGTTTTATTTTGAAATTAGGAATGGGAAATGGCTCAGGTCCCTGAGGAGGCTTTGAGAAATGTGTTCACTCATGACACTGGCAGAAGACTTTCACTTGAAAGACTGATCCAGAAATATTTATCAGAGATAGACTATGCGATTCTGTGCATGAGAGAGGTGAGTCACCTAAACTCCATGTTGCACTGAGATCAGAGCCCAATCTAAATGAAGAGAAGAATTCTGAGAAAATTAAGCTTAAAGCCAGAAACAGCACTGCTAGGTGAGGGAAAATTTGACTCTTTCAAGGTGAAAAGAGTCAGGGAAGCAACAGAGTCTCCCCTGGCAAGGAAACTGGGAGCTCTTTGACTTCCAGGACCTTACAGGTTCCGGACTCTGGAGACCAGAGGGGGCCGGGTTTAGTGACAACTTCAGCTCCTGGGTGTCCAGGATGAACTAAAGCTTCGAGGGTGTTTGGTAGGAGGCACTTACTCCAACTCTTATTTTATCAGCAGAATCAGAGTCGAGCTCACATGAGGAAAATTTCAAGAAAATGAAAATCAATTCCAAGGACAGCTGCCAAGACAGTGCAGGTAGAATCTTGCCTTTGTTTACCCCCCAAAGGACAAACAAGCAGTAGACTTTCAGAGAGGGCTTCAGCAGCAAGGGGGTTTCTTAATGACTAAAAAATTTTTGAGACCCCGGAACTCAGGGGATATTTGGGGACTCAGAAGGGGTTAAGCTTCACTTCATTAAAGTGCTGAGATGGTCAGGATGGAGGAACAGACAAACGAGGTTTACCTGAAGGTGCATGGGAGGTTCTGGCAATGAGGGTCTGTGAGCACTGTTTTGGCGAGTCTCTCACTCTCATGCTTCCTCTGCAGGGAACTGTTCAGGAGAGGAGTGCAGCTTGATGTTGAAAAAGAAACCAAAGTCCTCCACTGCTTTGCACAGCAGTGAAATCCAGGAGACCTGTGATGCCCACCACAGAGGGCCTTTCATGGTTTACACTAGGTGTAGCAAGTGGCACAGTTAATGGGCCCCAGGAGTTCAATGGTTGTCACTTCAGAAAGCTTGATGACCTTGCAATGTGTGTCAAAGGCCATTTATCAAAACCTATCCCCAGGTGTTGGTTCAGCCGGTCCATTTTCCACTGACCTGGGAGAAGCTTACTCAATTTGCCTGGCTCTGGGGCCTCTGTGTGCCCAGGAGCAGACCTTCTATGCCATGACCACCCAGGTAGGTTGTGTCTTGCCTGCTAAGAAGTGGCTTGTTTCAGCCACACTGCCTGGTCCTGAGGATTCAGCTCTGGATAGAGAAGCCCATCCCTTGCCTGGGCAGGAGATAGCTGAGCCTGTCAGTGGATCAGATGAGGCTTGAGCTGGGTGCACCCTCACCCTACTCAGCAGAGAATACACTCTTGGAATGAGAGCAAGAACCTGCTACTTCTGAGATTCTTCCAAATGACCAGCAGTGACAATTTTAGATGCACAGTGTTAATAAATGAACGACTCTGAAGCAGTCACAGGAAAGGAGCGTGAACAATATACTCAAAATGGTGAACCCTGAAATTTGTAGAGGGCCAAGATTATAAACAAATTATCTATTTCTTGTTAGATATTTGATGTCTATTGGATGTCTCATGACAGTCATGCATTTCTATATAATCAGACAAATATTAGGATGTAATCATTCATATGTCTTTCATATTTTCAATTATAACAAAATAAATATAAAACTATACGCTTCTTTTATAATTCAGAAAAGTTTGTAATCTCTCACTCTCCCACACTGAACCCATGGAACACTAATATCCACAAACATTTAATAGTACTCTTCCTGGGAAAATGTCAATATATTTTAACAGTTTAATAAAATTATGGTGAAATCACCACACAAGGTGTTTACTAAACTATTTTTACATAAAATTGAAGTCAAGATATGTTAAATGTAATTGATCATAATTATTTACTCTTCTCCTGACTCATATTTGCCTCATTTTAAATTTTTGAAATTTAAACTTTATTCTATTTTATACATTTCAGTTGATCATAGTGTATTATAGGATATTAAATGTAATATAAGTATTGTCCTTTATTTTACATATTGTTATATTTTATATTTTTATTCTTGCATTTTACAGTGAGATTATGAAATCTTTCAACATAAAATGTATTTTTTGTTTTGTTCTCTGACTCATTTTCATATACAAAATGATATGAAGATTAATGTTTTTGAGAATATTCTTTTTTTTTTTTTTTTTGAGACAGAGTCTCACTCTGTCACCCAGGTTGGAGTGCAGTGGCATGATCTCAGCTCACTGCAAGCTCCACCTCCTGGGTTCACACCATTCTCCTGTCTTAGCTTCCCTAGTAGCTGGGACTACAAGCACCTGCCACCACGCCCGGCTAATTTTTTGTACTTTTTTTTAGTAGAGATGGGGTTTCACCGTTTTCGCCAGGATGGTCTCGATCTCCTGACGTCGTGATCCACCCACCTTGGCCTCCCAAAATGCTGGGATTACAGGCGTGAGCCACCATGCTCGGCCGAGAATATTCAATTTTAGATAATTTTGTATTTCATCCACATTGAATTTTTATTTACTCCATGTGTGAGTTGGAGGAAGTTTTATCTTCACTTCTGGTTTATTTTCACCCCGACCCCTCACACTCCACAACTCTTGTTTTAGTCAAAGAATAGTGATTTATAATCCAGTAAATGGAGCCATTCAATGAAAATATACAGATATAGCTTGGAGATATATGGCTTTCGCTGTAAGCAAGTACAATAAAACAAATATCACAATAATGAGTCGCACAATTTTTCTTCTTTCCCAGTGCATATGAAAGTGATGTTTACACTATACTGTAGAATAAGATTGAAATAGCCTATGTTTGCAATAACAGTGTACATACCTTAATAAAAAAAAATGTACTTTATTGCAAAAAAAAATGCTGACACACATGTAAACACACATAAAGGTCATATGATGTTGGAAAAATAGTGTAATAGAGTCACTCAATAGAGGGTTGCAAAAAGCCTTGAATTTGTAAGAAATCCAATATCTATAAAGAACAATAAAATGCCATAAGACTAGGTATGCATGTGTAACAATCAATGTTCACTGTGATATACTTAGAAATCATACATAAAGGATATTTACATGTTTATAAAAGTAATTGACCTGTTACAGAATGGGTAGGAGATAAAAATTACAAAATGATTTATAAAAGTAAATTAAAAGGGAGACAAAATCCAAAACATTCCCGAGTGGACATAATCAGTTAGACATCCTCAGTGACCTCACCTTGTTGACTTGCAAATAAGCAAAACATAACGTGAGCTATTTTTGTGAATGCCTGCATTAAAAAAAAAAAAAAACTTAAGCTTAACTTATCATAAGTGCCAAGAATCTTATAGTAATATATGTCTATAAGGTAAATCAAAAAATACAATTTTATAACTGCAAAGAATCTGAGTTTGTGTCTCCATGTAAAAACTCATTTGTAAAAATTTAATCATTAATATGCTAGTTTTAAAACATGGAGCCTTTTGGGAAGTGACTCACTCAGGAGGGCTTCATCCTCATAAATGTAATTAATTTTAATATAATATTAAATAACAATTTTATAACATAATTAATAACATAATTTTAATATTTTGTTCCTGCATTTGTTCAATACAGTCATACCTCTGACACTTTGCCATTGAAGTGATAATCCTCTCTTGCTCTGGTGTTCCACAATTCATAAGTTGCTTCTTACTCAAGAAAATATTTTTAAAACAGGTTCTTGCTCTATTGTCCATGCTGGAGTGTGTACACAGAAAGCTCTCTGCAGCCTTGCATCTGAAGCTCAAGCCATCCTCCCCCTTAGCCCCACGAGTAGCTGCAACTACAGGCATGCACCACCACACCTGGCTAATTTCTTCTTATGTTTTGTAGAGACAGGATCTTACTATGTTTCCCAGGCTGGCCTCAAACTCCTGGGCTCAAGTAATCCCCTCAACTTGGCCTCTCAAAGTGCTGGAATCACAGATATGAGCCACCATTCCCATCCAAGAAAACTTTTAAAATTTGTACTGTGCTACAGTTTACTTTTTAACATGACAAAATAAAATAAACTAGCTATACATAAATCTAACAAACATTTGTTAAGCATATGAGAAAGACCATAAAAAGTCCTTGAAATATAAGAAAATCAGCATAAACAAATGGAAAACCAAATCATGTTCTATGGTAGAAACACTCAATATCACTCAATCATCATTTTTTTAGAAGCAATTCAGAAATTTAATTTTGTCCCAATAGAGATACCATCTGGTATTGGAAGCAGCCACTTTATCACAAAACTCCTATAGATGAAAACACAAATAAGAACAGCTGAGAAAATTGAAAAAGTAGAGTGGCTATCCCACCCTATAAGACATGCTGATTTATGAATATGTGGATAGGTCAGTGAAAGTACAAATTTAAAATAAACTACAGTATATGAGAAAGTGTCTCTGTTCAGGCTGCTAAATAAAATACATTAGACTGAGTAATGTATAAATAACAGAAATATATTGGTCACAGTTCTGGAGGCTGCAAAGTTCAAGATCAAAGCACCAGCAAATTCAGGGTCTGGTGAGGATCCTGTTTCTCTTAAATGGTGCCTTCCTCCTGTGTTCTCACATGGCAGCAGGGACAAAAGTGCTCCCTTCAACCTCTATTACAGGGTATTAATTACATTTATGAGGATGAAGCCCTCCTGAGTGAGTCACTTCCCAAAAGGCTCCATGTTTTAAAACTAGCATATTAATGATTAAATTTTTACAAATGAGTTTTTACATGGAGATACAAACTCAGAGCATAGCAAAAAGTTAATTGGCAATACAAACTACAGTTGGGTAGGCATCATTAATGCTTTGGGTTTAGGAATCTGATGTTTCTATCATAAAGGTAAAAAATAACATGCTAATTATAACCTGCAATAAAATAAAGGTCAAATGAAAGACAAAGCTATACAATGAAAAAATCAGGTTTTTACAAGGTAAACTATTGAAGGTTGTATCAGGATTTTTGTGGTTTCTGGGGATGAATAAGAAACCAGAGATTCCTCCTGTGCCTTTTTTACTGAAGTTTCTGATGCTCTTACTCAATTTGAAAGTGTGTAAAAATTTTTCCTGTTTCTGTTTTTGAGAAATTCAAAATAAAATTGGCCTCCATGTGCTTGATCCTAAAACAATTATTCACTCAGTGTTGCTCTGCTGAGGAAGGGCACCGAATCTCACATGCCCAGATGCATCATGTTCTGTCAGATACAGGACTTTCCCCTGAGCCAGAGCCTCACCATTCACACATGATCAGAGGCTTTCCCAGGCATGCACTGCTCTGTGCTCTCCCACACAGGCTCAGCCCTGAGCATCTGACTCTGACGGTGACTGACGAACATCTTCCCTAGTATTCTAATTTACAGAAATTTTGTTTTCTCTTAATAATATCTAACAGAGCTCTAGGGTCTTTCCTGACTCCGCCTACCACATACAGATAGATTGGGAGATTTGGACAGAAGCTTGAATCCTCACTCGAAGCCCTGCCCTGCCCCATCAGCTTTTCCAGAAGAACAATGTGCTAATTACTCCTGAGAGACCACATGTCACAGCATCTCTCTGTGCCAATTGGATAAAAATAAGAAGAGAAACAGACTAAAATTTCTGCTGAGGGTTGTATCTAAGGGTCTACTTCCTAGACTTTTATCTCTATTTTACATAATTATTGACAAATATAATTTCATCTTTAGATGAAAAACTGAGGAAGTAACCCCAGCTCACATAGGAAGGAGAAAAGAGAATCAATGTTCTATAGAATCCAGCTTACGTCAGCCATGGGGTGGTAAGTCTCCTCAGAAAAAAGCAGTTGTTTTCGATCATCATAAACAACTGTGGCCTCAGACAGCTGAACACTGAGAATGCAGGATATTCCCTGGGATTCCATGCCTACATCACAGAGAGAAGCTAATACCACAGGTCCTCTTCTACCATTTGGTCTAACTAATA